ATAGCAGCAATTGCAAATCACAATCAACTCAAGGTAGAATCTGGGATGCACCAATAATGAAGACCCTTCCTCCACAGTGGGAAGTCCAACTGTATGCCTGCCTATGTACAAATGTGCACATGCAGTGGGAGTTTTGCAATGTTGGCCTATGAGCAAGCTATCTTAGTGGAATATCCAGCATCCTCTAGAATTCTGTAGTGGAATGCTCAGCAAAACCAAAAATATGAGTACCTAATTTTATTTTNCAAATGTGCACATGCAGTGGGAGTTTTGCAATGTTGGCCTATGAGCAAGCTATCTTAGAATTCTGTAGTGGAATGCTCAGCAAAACCAAAAATATGAGTACCCAATTTTATTTTATTTTTTATTTTATTTGTTTTTGTTTATTTTTGTTTAAAATATTACAGATGTCCCTTTTCTCCCCATTGACCCGTTCCACCCCATCCCATCCCCCTTCCCAGTCCTTCTCCCCACCATTGTCCGNTTATTTTTGTTTAAAATATTACAGATGTCCCTTTTCTCCCCATTGACCCACTCCACCCCGTCCCATCCCCCTTCCCAGCCCTNATTTTATTTTTTATTTTATTTGTTTTTGTTTATTTTTGTTTAAAATATTACAGATGTCCCTTTTCTCCCCATTGACCCGTTCCACCCCATCCCATCCCCCTTCCCAGTCCTTCTCCCCACCATTGTCCGAGTCCTTGGATTGTGCATATATGCATATAAATTCTTTGGTTACTCTCTCCCCCTCCACCCACTCGCCCTCCTCCATCCCTCTGACATTCGTCAGTCTGATCCATGCTTCCATGTCATTGAATCTATTCTGTTCATCAGTTTATTAAGTTCTTTAGATTCCACATATAAGCAAGATCGTGTGATGTTTGTCTTTCTCTGCCTGGCTTATTTCACTTAGCATAATATTCTCCAGGTCCATCCATACTGTCCCAAAGGTGAGTACTTAATTTTAATAAACTCAATTATTTACCAGAAAGTAGCCCATAGTATGTAATCGTGAAAATCCAGGAACTCTAGAATAAAATGGCCTCGCATTGTCTGATTAATTCACTCAATGCCCATCACATGGATCCTTTCAGGCCTTAAGTGGACCACGCAGTCTACCTTGAGAAACATCGCAGCAAGGCAATCACCCCATCAACTGTTAATATGAGCTTCCAGCATGGCCCAACGCAGCCAGCTGCTTGTGAGGATATAAAAATAGGAACAGGCCCTGAGGAGCTTCCAATCTATTAGGTACTCTGTAAATAGTTAGAGATTATATTAGAGATCAAAGAGACATACATGACTAGTATTATTGGAAAGAATGAAATCTTTCTTTCGTGGTGGTGAGAATAAATACAATCCTTTTCACATTCTGGTCTCAAGATTTGTTTTACTGTATCAAAAACTCAATAACCTGCATCCGCAAGTCACCCGTAAACACATGCAAGATAAACTGTAATAGGAGCAATGTCTTGGAGACCAGGTAACAGTCTGTGGTAATAAAACATGCCCAGCATCTGGGTTTTCAGTTTATTTGATTACAAGTGTGAATAAGCATGAACCATAATTGTATAATATGTGAGCTCAGGGCTCAGGAATATGTGTGTTGGTTAAAACGTAGCTGTAAAACACTACACTATGAAATTTTATTCAGCTCTTTAAATCTTTTACATTTGCTCAAAAATAGCTGCTATAAAAGAAAATCAGACCCAGTGAATAATTCGCAACACAAATGCTCTTGTGTGGGTGGGAGTTAAGTGGTGTTTGCCTTTGTCTTGTCTATGGTTAGATCTGCCATTATAACATAGGCTCCTTTCTAAAACGGCAAACTGAAGATTCTAAATCAGCAACAGGCAGCTGCAGAGCTGATGGGAATTTGCTGGCTGCCTGGTAGCATCACAGAAAGACAGGGCAGACTGCAGCAGGCTTTTGTCCCAAGTCTTTTCTTTGTCATTAGTTTTCTCTTCTTTTCTCTGTATAGACTGTAAACAAATTATAAACTGTGTGACACTACAGAACCTGACAGGTAATTCAAGGCTATTTTTGCATTGTCCACCAGAGCATACAAATCTTGCTTTTCTACCAAAAACTGCTTGATGTGTGCACTTGACCTTGATGCCTATGACTTCATATATTTTTCAGAGACCGTTGAAGGTCAAGGAGCTAGGGGATGATAGTAGGGACCAGATAAATGGGCGCATTAATCATATTTTGTATTTTCTGTGTCTTATGATGTTTTGACTTTTTGGGAACCGTACAGATCTGGGGAGAGAGGGCCCCTTCCAGGGCCAGCTAATTCCTAGAGATAACATCTCACCCAAGAACACAACTTTCATATTCAAACCAACCAATCCTGAGCACATATCCCTCAACCACCTCCTTTATCTAACTCTCATATACCAAGCCATACTCCTCTGCTCTGAATCATCCCAGGGCCAGGTACTAGGCAACTAGAGACCACCCCGTAACCCAAAGCCAGCCAGAACTCGTCAATCTTAGCTGGTTACTCTGCCCTGCCTCGCCTTTTCTGCAGAAAACCCAGTAAAGGTATTGGCTTGTGCTTTCCTCTTGTTCCTTTCTGCCTCTTGACCAAACCTGGTGCTCCCCATGCGGCCCTGTGATATGCCATGCCCTCTTCTCTCGAGAATTATAAGTAATAAATTCTTATTTCAATAGTATTGGCTTCTCTGTGTCTTCACCCAGTCACCTTTACAAATTAAAATCTCATGGGCACAAATAGGACAAAGGACTTCTATAGTCATTTTTAAGAACATGGTGGTTTGGCTTCAAATGTGGCTCAGAGACCAATCCACTTGCACAAAAGCATCGAGTGACTACAGCACACAGCCCAGGATGGGGGCCAGGCATCCTCTCTTCATCTCTGCCTATTTCCTACATGGCACAGGAATGCATGTGGATACACGCTCTCTTGTTGACTTTCTTTCATGACGTGAAAGTCCAGAAAACTTGTGTGACCTCCTGAAGAAAGTAAGAATGCGGATCTATAGAGGAAGTGAAAAGTGGAGCCTGCCCTCCTGATTCAACACGTGGAGCCAGAGTAACAACTCTGATGATGATGACAGCTGTGAACATGCAGCCATCGAGCGCCCTGGCTCTGTGCCCTGTGCGTCCCACGCATCATCCCACTGAACCCTCACAAGGCTACGAGATAAGTGCTGTTATTATCCCATTTTAGAGAATTTTGAACTGAAGGTCACTGGATGAAGGTCACATATTTGGTAACTGGTGCCCTGGGACTAGAGAAACCAAATCTAAATCCAGAGCCCATGCTCTAAACCCCTACCCTATATGACATCTGTCAAAACTGAATGAGGCTGCTTCTCCCATGACACAGGATTCAAGATCACAGTCCCTTTTGTGAATGAAATGTCAGTTTGAAGACCTCAACCTCTACTTGGCATCTCTAATTGGCTGGTGGATGGTGCCATGTTGCCCTCCAAACCAAACGTATTTTTGGTAGATATCCAGAGTGGGGCCAAGTCCAAGCAATATCGTGTAATAAGCAACCCTCTTGATTTCTAGTGACTGCTTTTCCTGGAATTCAGTGCCTTCACTTCCTCCCCAGATGACTCCACTCCCAACACTGTCCTCTGTGATCTGGGCCTTAGGCCCCTAATTATTTCTCTATGTCACCAAACTCATTAGAATTTCCATTCTCTCTTTTATTATTTTTTATTTTATTTTATTTTAATTAGATTCATTAAGGTGACATTGGTTAACAAAATTATATGGGTTTCAAGTTCATTCCTCTCTTTAATTTAAATCCATCAAGGACTCTGAATTCAAATACACTTCGCTTCTAATTCTTGCTGTACAGCTTGTAACTGTGTGACCTTGATCCCCACTTTCTCCATCTGTAAAAGTGCTATAGTAGCACAAACTTCCTTTATTACTAATAATAAAACAAATTATCAAGTATCCAAATATTAAGTTACACAGCTCAAAAGGCATAGAAAATATTAGCTGTCTGCTCAACTCATTAGCAAAAGTCCACTTCTTTTTTTTTTTTTGCAAGAGAGAGAAGGAAGGAAAAAAAATCTCACTTCAAACAAAAATAAGTTGGTAAACAACTTCAGAAAGTATAAAAATACAAGAATTTCTAAATTTTTATGATTAAGAATTATTTTAGCTACAAGAGTTAAAGCATTTCCGCCTTTAAAAAATTTATTATATTAAAGAGCTTATTCTATGTGTTCTGCCCAAGACAAAGGCAATGTTTTACTAAAAATGCTTTACAGCCCCCTCCCACTTTTTTCTCAGGGCCTCCCTATAATTTTTGCACCTCAGTGCAAACATTAAAATGAACTGCAAGGCTTTTTTTGTCTGGACACATTAAAAACGTGTAGATTTTCAAAATAGGGACTTTCCATAACAGCACAAAATGAGACTTATCGAAAGACATTAAATAATTTCTAACAGTTGGCATAAACAAAAAGTTGAGCAAACCTTCGAAGTGGATGCATACTTGCATGAATGTGAGAGATGTGAACGTAAAGTGAGCGGGCAAATAACCGTACAGGCCCTAGGGTCTGTATTTGAAACGGCTGAAGGGCTAAACCACATAAGGCCCAGAGTGTTCAGAGTTCCTGGGATTTTAGTTCCGTATGATACTAAAAATATGCAAGTATTGTGCTGGGTATTTTGGCACCTAATCTTCCTGCATTTCTTACATATTGATAAGATTCTGGCCTTAGAATAAATTTAAAGATATAACTCATGATCTCAAGAAAAGTCAACTGGTACATTTTAAATGCTGAGCAGTTAGAATCTTTTGCTAAGTGTCAAAACAGGTTGCTCATAACCCAAACACAGAGGTTGCAATTCTGTCAGATGTGTGACCTGGTAAAACTGCTTTGCAGCACTCCTATGGGAGCTTCGTTAGACTTATTCACCAAGCCAATATGTTGGCTAATACGTATGACGAATTAGGTCCTGTCTCGAGTTCCACTTCCAAGGCAATGGCATCAGGCATGGCTGTTTTATTTAATGCAGCAGTTGTTTCTATGACCACTGGAGTCTTGGAAGCACAGCCACATTTTAGGACAATATTTCTCCAAATAAAAAAGTTGCTTGCTGTTAAAAGTTCCATGCCACTTTTGTCTTATGAACTGTACTGCATCTCATATTTCATTCCACCTTCCACTTATGCCAGGGCAACAAGCACCGGAGCTCTCCCAAGGCCTGCAACACAATGAACAGCAATACAACAACCAGGTTCTTCATGAAACTTAATTTTTGCAAGACTTTCCTGGTCATCAGCAGTCTGGCAGGATGGTGGTGCACCGTCATCAAAAGGCCAATCAAGAACATGGATGCCTTCTTTCCCCACAAGGGTAGTGTCATGAGTTGCCTCCCACACTCTTACTATCCTGGTAACTCCATACTTCTTAAGTTCCTCTATAAATTTGTTTAAGGTCGCATTGGTTGAATTGTGTGTAATAAGAAATCTCATGTTCTTATACGTGACTTCCACAGGAGCTGGGCGGCTCATTTGCACCTTTAATTTAGTTAAAAACCACTCAGTAGGGTTATGAAAGAATTTAAAAATTGAATATAGAAATGATGCAAAGAAACAGAGTCTACTTCAATATACTCTACTTGAAACTCTCAGTGCTTTGAGTATGAAGTTGGAAGTAATGGGAAATGAAATGAACCTCCTAACAAGAAGCAGCAATTCTTCGATCCAGTAATACATGTTTCCCGGAGCCATGGAGGAGTCAGCCTCTTCACAGTATGGACATACTGAACGAATGTGGCTTGATAAACCAGCCATAAAAGTAAACACTGGCTTGGCACATCTGCTAGGAATTCAAAAGCAATACAGGGAGTTCTGATACACCTAGACGGTAGAATAAAGGAAAATTAAGCAATGGGGTTAATATGAGAATGCAGTCTACTTTACAGTTTTGCCAAATGTTTGCAGCTCTCATGTCACTAAATTCCAGAAAGAGTATTTTTAAATAAATTCAGCAGAAATGATACAGGGGGAAAAGCAGGAAGCCAAGCATCGTAAGACAGAAGTCCTTATCTGCCACAGGTTAGTCATGTGACCTTGGACATGCAACTTGACCTCTATGGGTGTCAGTTCCCTTCTCCATAAAATAAGAGAGGTGAACTAGACTCTGACTCCACCATTGCCCCTCCCCTTGTTCTCTGGAATATATTGTTGCCACAGTAATTACAATTGCCCCCAAGTAACATCATATAGCAGAGTCTAGTCACGCACAGGAATGCCAGACACTGTGACTGTGAATTCTAATCCCTCTGTGGTCACACCCTCTTTGAATGACCTTGGGCAGGGCACCTAACTTCAGCTGTCTCAGATGCCTCATCAACAAAAACCTCCAGGAATTTACAGGATCACTTTCCAACTCCTTACATGCACAAGTTGCCCTCCAAATGCTTTTACAATGTTTAACTTGGGACCACCCAGGACAAATCATGAAATTAGTCTTGTTTCCAGAATAATTCGCAGTCATGGTACGTTCTGACCGCCAACATAGAAGCCTAAATCTTTCTATTAAAATCATATAACTATCTTTTGAAGGAGGGCAAGTTGAAATGAAAGCTTAAAAGGCTGAAAATTTTGTGAAATTTGTGAAAAAGTCAAGGCTAGGAAGGAGCTCTGATATATTTGGAACCACCATGATTTCAATAATCTTAAATAAATAGCGGAAACCAGGGACAATTACTGCAAACTTTCAGCAAATATTTTTGAGATGTGTCTTAAAATAAGATTGGCACTATAATTCCTGTCCTAAATTTAATGGACAAAAAGGCAAACATTTCTGTTAATAATAATAACAAAATAATGACAGCTGTCATTCATTATGCAAATATTAAGTTTTAGGCACTATGCTAAGGGCATTACATGTCATGTCCATTAGAATGCTTTCAGCTGCAAGTAAGAGTACTTAACTAAAATGGGCTTACGCATTAGGAGTCCCCTATCTCATAACCATTGGTGAGGAGTGGCTGGTCCCAGAGCTGGTTGATTGAGCAGAATGACAACATCACAGAGGACCCATCCTTCAACTCTGTCATTCCCAGCACATGAGCAGCATCTCCCTGGGGTTTACACAATGGCTTCAGTGATTCCAGGTTCCACATAGAGACTTCAACACTGAGAAAATTACACTTCCTACATGTCTCTTTCTATTGGCTGGGTCCCTACAGATTTCCTTCACATTTCATTGTCCAGGATCAAATCATTTACCCATACCTAAATCAATCAATGGAAAGGGGAATGAAACCACCAATATCCTTTTGGACCAATCACAATTCACCCCTGGCTCACCTTCCTTGAACACATGGAGTGGTGAGCACTCTACCCAACAAAACTGGGCTCCACAGGAGGGATGGGCTAGGAAATGGCAATTGAATAGATAAGCAACTGTGTCTGCTACACATATGTTATCATTTTAATAAATCATCCTCTAAAGAGTTATTATCCTCATTTTATAGATGAGAAGTCAAGTGAATTGCCCACAGAGAAGTAAAGCACCAATAGTCGCACAGCTGGAAGTTGGGAAATCCTATATTCTTAATGACCATAGTGACGATTCTGAAATTTCAGCATCCAAGAAACATCAGGAGAGTTTAGCAAAAATGAAGATTTATAGACTCCACACCCAGAGATTCTGATTCAATAGTATAAAGAGCCCTTATTCTTTATTTTTAACAAATAATCTCAGTTAATTTGGATGCAAGTGTTCTACAAACAGCATTTCATGAGAGAGCATAGGGTTAGCTATCATTTGGGCAAAAGTCTGATTTAGAACAAAAACCAGAACACCTTGATTCTCTGGAAAATGCAGACCCATCATCTCTGAAAGTCATCCATCTGTCTTACCCACAATCATAAAATACCACATTGAATTCTCTCTATAATCTACATAGGTCATGCCCTTTTTATGTCCAGGTCTGGTTCCCTAATTTTAAAAGGCTACAGATAAAAGATTCAGATGAGGGAAACAAGTTTCAAGAGGAATCTAAATAAGTCTTCTAAATAACTATTGTAGAATTTGGGAAGATTTAGGGTAGAAAATAGTCAACTCTTTGGGGTAGGAAAGGGTGGGGGGAGCCATCATAAATTTTCAAATATTGACTAGGCTGTCACCTATAATGGATGCTCAGAGGTAGAATCAATGATCAGAAATTATGAGGAGGCTCATTTTGTTTTATTACAAGGAAGAACAGTCTAATAATTAACATTGTGCAACAATGAAAAGGGTGCTCTGCTTCACAAAGCATTCTGAACAGGCTCAAGCAGAGGCTGGTGGACTGAGCGTCTGCCGCCAGTGTTGTAAAAGGGATTCCTCAATGGAAAGGAAGGCTCTGCAGATGACTTGTAAGATATGCTGTGATCCTCCCATCACATCTTCTGCAAACTGACCTGTGTTGGTTTTTACCTTGGTCATTTCTGCTGAACACCTTGGAGTGCAATTTCGTTTCTAATTTAATTTTATTAATATAATCAATGTATAATTATTTCATTAACACCATATATTGTGTTATTTCATTAACACACTGATGCTCTTACGAAGGCTCCACCGCCAGACCACAGGCCTCCTTATAACAAAGATCGCCCCAGAAGGACCTAGGAGATAGAAACAAACCCAGTACGATAAGGCAACACCAGCTCAAATAACAGGGGGGATGTCTGGGGTGTCCACAACTCCCTTATGCCACCAGTTTCTCCATACCACATTGTGGGTCTATGTAAGACAAACAATCGCAAGGTACAAACTGCCTTTCAAAAATCACATTCATCGGTGAGTATTCACACAACCTTGAACTGCAAATCTATGACAAAACTGTTTCCCAATATGCATGTGCTGTTCTCACTTTGTACCTTGTGGTTGTTAAGCAGGGCATGTTGGCTGGCACTTTGACATACTTACTGCAAAACAGCGCCTGAACGAATCCAAGGGACACTTTTCCAAAACCGCCAGTTTTAATCTTAGATCAAAGAACAGCTGGCAAGTGAGAGGCAGGTGGAGATGGACAGTAGTGGAGTAAGCAGGGGAATTATTGAGAATTTTAGGTTTTTCTCTCTTGCAATTAATATATCTTGTATGTTGCCAAAGTTGGCAAATCACTGACACTTGGATGCTAAGAAAGAGCTGCTTCTTTCCCGGGGCCCTACTCCTTGGCTATCAGGCTTGGCCTAAAGCGCTCGCAGGCCCTCTCCCACGGGTCCTTTCACCCCCTTACTGCTTTTCGACCCTTTGGTTTTCCCCAGCCATAACCTGCGCAGTCTTTTCAGCTGCTCTCGGGAAAGGAGTCAGGGATCAATAATTCTTAGAAGTTATAAAATGGCATGTCCCTGATGGCATGGTATAGGAAATAAAAGCCTGAGGACTCTGAACTAAACAGTAGAATAATGGAAGCCAACTCAGCTTCATACTCCAAATCTAGACAGAAGTGTTATTTGGTAAAAACACCTACTCAGCCTTGTCACTAGTTCAGCACCCACACCACAGTACAGAGGAATAATTCTGTAGAACAAGGACAGTCATCACGAGAGACACTGACGATTTCCCATTGGCAAATGACAAAACAAACGAAAGTCACCCCCAGGAGCTCACTGATGCTCTAGGCTCCTTGATAGGAATTAAATACTTCAGAGAAAGCTACTATATAATTACAAAATTTTGTTTAAAGGACTTTTTTTTCGTAATTAGGCAATAGATAACAAATTTTCTCAAAACATGTATACTCTTAGACCTCACAATTCCACTTACGGGAATTTATTCCTAATAAATAATCAGGAAGGGGTACAAAGATATATGTATTTCAAAAGTCATTGTAGCTTTAAAATACATTTATAGTGTAAATTTTCAAATGTATACAAAAGTAAAGAGAATAATATAATGACCCACCAATGTATCCACCACCCAAGTTTATTGTTTACCAACACTTTGCCCAGTTTTTGTTTCATTTACCCTGTTGTTATTTTTGCTGAAATATTTTAAAGCAAATACCAGCCATCCTGCCATTTGACTCTTAAGTACAACAGTTTGAATCACTAAAGAATAAGAATTTTTAAAAATTAACATTACCCTCATATCATCCTGTTACTGTCCAAGTTGTCAATAATTTCTTAATATCATCTAATACCCCTTCACGTATAATTTCAAAACATCAAAAATTACTTGTTCAGTTTATTTAAATCTGGATCCAAAAAGTTCCATATACTGGATTTAATTGTTAATTCTATTAAGTCTCTGTAATCTATAACAATTTCTTCACTTTTCATTATGCTATTTATTTGTTGAAAAAATTCAGGCCATTTTGACCTGTAGAATTTCTCATATTCTGGATTTGGCTGATTGCATTTTTCTTGCGTCATTTACTATGCTCCTCTATCTCCTGTAAACTGGTAGTTAGAGCCAAAATCTTGATTGAATTGAGGTTCTTTTGGGGAAGGGGCAAGAATGCTTTATAGGTGGCTCTGTGTACTTCATATTAAATCACATCAAATGGACT